TTGCATGTTTCTGTCAGGTCCTGTAATCCCTACTTTATTTTGTTTATCTAGTAATTATCGAGAAACTAGCAGACGATGTAGACCGTCCCGACGGCAATCAGTATGACTGAAAAATGTGAATGGGTAACACTATTAAGTTCACATTACTTGCTAAAAAAGCAAAAAAGACCGTTTGCAGTCTTTTTGAACAATGAGAGCACGTACCGTGATTCAAGCTGTTCCAGTCGCAGCTTTCTTTTCGTGAGGTCTGCGTTAATACGACTGTAGTCAGCCTTCACCTGCCGCAGTTCCATTTCCAAACTGTACATCCGCGCCGCGGATTCTTCTTGCAGTTCCCGGTTAAGGCAAAATAGCGTCTCAAGCTGCATTTCGGCACTGAGGGTTGACTCCTCGGTCATTTTCAGGCGGGCCTCTGTGCGACGGAGCTAGGTAGTCCGACAGAGGGGGGAACGAGGTTTTCTAAAGCACGTAGTTAACTTCCTAAACATTTGTTAACATTCTAAGTCTTGAGAAGAAGACGACTCGATCGCTGGAACGGTACTTTTATTCACCTGACGTTTGGAGATCCGTTGCGGATTCGTCATCAGAGATATAGTCAGAGAGCAGTAGCAGTTAGGGTAACGTATGCACAAGATCTCGAAACGTGGGGCAAATAAAAATATTGTCCCTGAAGTCGAGTCGTCAATTACTTCCTGGGACTCGCATGTACGCTTGTATTCTAAGCCTTGTCTAAGATGCATTTGTGGGTCTGGAGTCCAGCCACCATAACCGAACTTTACACTAACTCGGGCTGAATACTGACCATTGTAATGGAAACTTGCACGTTCGTACCTTGTCGCACACGACTAGAATGCATTGTGACCGCTGCGGCATTCAGAATTGTGAGATCTAAGTCTCACACTTATTTCTATAATAATCTGTTATATTGTGCGGGCACAGGTACCAACTTAAGGCCTTCTGGTCCTCTGAGTCTGTTGAATGATTGAATGAGAAGCGAGTACGGTAGATGCTGCACAAGTCTGCCTCACTAACATGCAGGTCACTAGTGCTGCCACCACTCCATTGGCATAGGGCGGAGGATGTCGCATTTGATGTTCGAACTCTCAGTAGGCATTGAGCAACCAGAGTTGTGTTCAATCGCACCAGCAAAACTGGCGTCACTTAGTGACTTAACACATGGACCTACGGGAAACTTGAAGTAGCACTACATCTGAACACCGGCAAGACAGCGAACTCGATGACTTAATGTTGGGCGTCTGCCCCTGACCGACGAGACGCGACTTCGAAACTCAAGTGTGGCAGCAATTTCAGCGGCTACACTAGAGTTGGGCTACTCCTAGATGATAACGGCCAATAGCCAGAAATACATATACTAGTATTTCCTTCTCCCTGGCCGGAATACTACTAGTTTTCAGTATATATATATGTATATATATATATATATATATATATGAAGAAGTGGATCCG